TTAAAAGACTTCAGCTAGTTCCATTCATTTGCTTATGGAAACAATTGACATTTCACATTTTCATTTTAAAATTACCTTTTATCTACAATTTGCTCACTGTAGCTCAGACTAGAGCAGGGATTTTTAACTTTTATGTGTCAGGGACTCCTTTGGCAGTCTGGTGAAGTCTATGGACCTCTTCTCAGAATATTTTTTTTTTGAAAAAACCAATTATGTAGAAATATAGTTATCAAAATATATTCTTTTTTAAAATTTTTTGTTTTTAGACAGTTGGGGTTAAGTGATTTGCCCAGGGTCACACAGCTAGTAAAGTGTCGAGTGTTTGGTCTGAGGCTGGATTTGAACTTGGGTCCTCCTGACTCCTGGGCTGGTGCTCTATTCACTGCGCCACCTAGCTGCCTCGTCAAAATGTATTCTTGAAAAAGCTTTTTGGACTCCAGATCAAAAACTCCTGAACTAGAGCAACTGAAAAATAACCTGTAAAATAAATGGCCTAAACCTCCTTGCTTTACTTATTAGTACGTCCTGAATTAAAGACTGATTGACTTGCAGTGAAGCTAGCAAAATTTATAGTTACTCTACCAAAGAAAGCAGGAGATTCCTTCTTAGACCCTGCAGAGGAAATTATCTTTAGGGCATCGTATTGCCTTACCTAGAACTAGGTAAGATCATAAAATGGGAGTGACTATGCCAGTTTCTTTGATAGGGATGTCTGTGTTTGGCAGGAAAGTCCACAGTGTGGAATCTAATGGTCTTCTCTATTGATATGAAACCTCTAGCTACATTTGTCAGAGCCCCTTTTCTCTGGCTATCTACCAAACCAGTTGTGGTCATGTTCTAATAATTTCATTGTGGGTGTGGTAAGGGGAGAATGTTTTAAAGCACTTGTGGAAAGAATTGGGAATGATAATTTTTCAGTGTTAAGAGAAAGATTGACATATGTAGTATGGTTTTGTTGTTGTTGTTTTTGGAGGAGGGATACACTTTTTAGTGAGTAACTTCCCAGTAGATTATTCAGAATTCATCCTGCTTCTATTCAAACACAATACAAAAAGGGCATACGTGTAGGGAATTGGGATAAAATTGGTGAGGGGGAAGGGAACTCAGTACCCAAAACACACACACACACACACACACACTCACACACACAAACTTACCCATATTGTAATGTGTGTGTACTTCAAGTGCTTTTGCCTCTTGAAATTCTGTCTTTTTTTGGTTTCCTAGGAACCTAACAATACTTTTTTTTTTCATAGCAGGTTAACCTTTATTTTGGGGCCTTTTTCTTATCCTCTTCATCTATTATCATTAATTACTCAACACATCTACAATATTATACTGTAGCATCTTTTTTTATTCTTTATTATGATTAAGGAGAGATGGGTGAAAGGTGACAAGACATAGAATCCTTAAATTTTTTCAACCAAAAGATACTTAATGACTATTAGTTCTATTTCCCTGAAAAGTATTTCATTTCACAAATAGTAAGCAGGTTAAAGTATATATTGTCCTTGTAAATTATAAAAATTACTGCGATTTTTAAAACAGTGACATGGAAGCATTAGAAATTCAGGAACTTTACCAAAGTAACATTTCAGAATTGTTAGGTTCATAATTGAGGCATGACCTATTTGGGTTCTTACTCTTCTCCTCAGCCCATACTACCCAGTACTTCCCAGTACTTCACTCAGTAATCTAGAACTAGACTGTCTTTTCCTACCAACAACAGTCGTCTTGACAACAGAGATTGGGACTTTCTACATCTTTTAAAACCATGTAGAAATGGATTCACCTTGTGCTTTAAAGTAGGCAGTCATTGTCCTGGATGCTATTAAGTGGAATCCAAGGCAGTTATTGATAGCACACGACTTCTCTCTGCCATATGCATCACTTTCTCCCTCTTTTCTCTTCTCATTTGTATCTGGTTAGGTCTGTTGATTAAAGCACTGCAAATGAATCCAATGACATATTTCAGAGCCACTTGGGACAGTGAGTTTTTCTTGCTCCATGGCCACATACTAGGCTTCTAACTCTGACCATCTGTATTACACATGTGTGCTGTTGATCACCAGAGGGACCTTGGTATATGAATAAATAAAATACATTCTTAATCAAACATGTGAAATGTTGCTCCTTCAGTTATGTAAATCGTAACTCATCCATGCCTGCCCGCAATCCTATGTGATCTTGATCATATCTTCCCATAAGTTTTCCACACATTCTTACTGCTAGATAAAGCAAATGATTTCCAAATCATCAGATGAAGCCATAATCTTCTTCTGAGTTCTTGTTCTACATCTCCAACTGTCTATTGATATCTCCATATCGAAGTCTCATAGGCATAGCTGGCTCAACGAGTCTGAAATAGAATGTGTCAACCCATATTGTTGCGTCATCTTTCACTTGTCAGTCTAACCTTTATTTCCAGTTATTTGCCAAGTGTTGTTGATTATAGTTCTACTTCTCTTGCTTCTGTTCCCTTCTTTTTATTCCCATAGCCTCCACCTTAGTTCAGGCCTTTATCACTTCTTACCTTGACATTTGTAATAGCCTTTTGTAATAGGTGTTCACTTATCTAGTCTCTCCTGCCCTATACTCCATCTTCCATACAGTTGTGCCAGACTGATTGATATAACTTATACAAATTCAGATGATACAGTTAAATGGAGAGAGATAATGGATAGGGAAATAGATCACTGAAGGTGGAAGAGTAGGATATGGGTACTTTGGAGGGGCTTGAAATTCAGTGTGTCATTTGAATTTGATGCATTAGGTGATAGGAAGTTAATGGAGAAATTACTTAATTGAGGAGAAATGGAGAATTTGAAAACACAGTAGTATTCTAACACAATAGTGTATCATAATTTTTCAGCCATTCTTCCCCAATTGCTGGGCACCCCCTTAGTTTTCAGTTTAGGCAAGATGTTCTGCAATAAAGGATGATTTGTCTTGCCCTTGAAAAGCTCTGAGAACTGTTTTTTGCCAGTCAAGAAGCCTCCTGGCGATAGGTGACTCTAGTAGTTTAGTTGATTTTGGGTCAAGCGCAGAGTAGCCTTAAGAACCTGCTATAAAATATGATCATCAGAAAGAGGTCTATGTGCCTGTTAGCTCCTGAAGTGGATTAATTTTCAGGGATAGGGAAGAAGCCAGGTTAGTCAGAGAATTTACCCTGTGGGGTTTGCCTTGTAATGAAATTTATATGTTCTCTTGAGTTTAAATTACTGGTCATGTCAAGAGAATCTGTTATGCAGTTCTAGTTTCTAGTTTTGATATTGCAGTATGGTGTGAAAAAGATAAGGAACTGCATGTGGAGATGGTAATAAAATAGTGCGAAACTTCATTGAATACACTATCCACAAATAATGATTGTTCTTTAAATTGAATTTTTGATTTCATTGTCGCAGGTGAGGAAACTCCCGCCACAAATGTAGATCAACACTTACTCTGCCACTTATTGCCTTACAGAATTACCTGTAGCACTGAGAGGTTATGACTTTCTAACATGTGCTGTTAACTCATGTAATCAGTTCATTGGGGTTGATTCTCAAACCCAGGTCTTACTGACTCTATTATGTTATGCTGCCTCTCATGTCAATTAGACTCGGTCAATATACTAAATAATCAAGTTCAGCCATTCATAGGTTACAAAAATATGTTATAAAAGGATTTATCATAGCATAAATTTTGATATATCACAAGTCAATGCCATTGTGATTACCAAAGATCAAATTACAGTCTCCTAAAATACATTGACTACATTCAGGAAAAATCCTCTTGTAATGTGTATTATGCTAGGCTGTAGGGAGTCAAAGACAAAAATAGGAGGTAAGGGAAAGACTGTCTTTGGGAGAACTTAGATACTCTTAGGCAAAGGCTTTCTCTGGGAGAACTCCTCTCTACCTGGCACTTGGCTACAAAAAGACAATTTGGTCAACGCTTATCAGAACTTCAATCCTAACAAAGCAAGGAGAGCAGTCGTTCACCTAAGGAGGGCAGATGTATAAATAAGGTCAGATTGGGAGGAAGAGTGGTTGAAAAAGTTTGATTTTGTGTTAAAGAATGGGTTATACTGCTTTTCCTTATTTAGACAGACTAGGCTTCCTGGAGGAAAAAAGCTAGGAAGAAATTTGACTTAAAATTAGGTAACAGTATGAAATAATGTGAATAGATGAGTCAAATAGAAAGGACTGGGATAGAGGACCGAAAGCTTTGTTTGGAATGAAACTGATGGGTAGAGAAGTAGATCACTGAATGTGGAGAATTATGATATGGTTAGTTTGGAAGAGCTTGAAATTCAATGTGTCATTTACATTTAATGCATGGATGATAACACGCTAGTGGAGGAGTGATTTAGTTGAGGGGGAATGGAGAGAGTTTGAAGCATTGGGCAAAAAGGGCATTTTTTGGTCTTTTCTATAGCTTATGAACATGTGTTTTCTGTTTGAGTAGATAAATGTCTCAGGCACAAAATATGAGTTATTGGTGGTTTAGCATCAGTTCAAAAAATCTTCCATAGTTTTCCACAAAACTTGACAATTTTCAAACATTTAAGTTGTTGGGATGTGATTTGATCAGGAAAAAAACAATATATTTTATAAGTTTGCTTTAGTGAGGAAAGAAAAGGGGAAACAAAGCAGTCTTCAAAAGAACCAATGAAAACTTTTAAAATATACTTAAACTTTTGAATGAATCCATTAAATATCATTATGTACTGAAATAGAACAACAGTTGATAAAATTCCTGTTGCCTTATTAAAATCAGAAATTTTTTGGCATTATTTATTTTTAAAGAAATCAATATCTGTACTTATAATTTTGTTCTTCACATATGTGTGAACTGTTATTGTCTGAGTTAGTTACTATTAAACATTGCTATAACACTGGGAACAATTACATTTGCTCACCAGTGTTAGTGTGAGTATTTATAAAATTCACACTGGTTATGTCAGAAACACTTCTGTGGATTTTTTATCAAATAAAATGAATTTTATTCTCTTTAAGAAATAGAGATGGTAATCATGGAGCGAAGCAAACTAACCGAATTAGCCATTTCTGTAGTGACAGAACAGAATACAACAGATGAAGAGAAGAGTGCTGCTGCGTCTGGGAGTGAGAACACACAGTGGAACAGGTAGGTTCTCCCACGGGAGGATCATGTTTTCCACATTTTATTTCTTTGTCTTAGTGTTTTAAGTCATGCTTCTTCTATACCTCACCACTAGATAGTAGAATAATTATGTTTTGTGGCATGATAGGTAGAAGAGACCAATGTAATTAATGTTGTACTTTTTTTTTACTTCTTATGGAAATTGACTGGAAAATGAAATGTTTGCTTCCCCTGATGCACTTAGATTTTGGAGCCAATACTAAAGAGTATGCATTACCCTGACAATTAGCCAGCTCTTGGCATTGTCATATAAATTTTGAGAAATATCATGTTTGGTCTGTATGTGAATGCATTTATGGTCATTCATCCTCTTCCATGTACATCACTATCTTTCCTGTTTCCCATTATACATACTTGGCCTAATTGACTTGCCCACTGTAGTTTAGTTGATTGATTAGTACTAGAGATCACCTTATTGTGGGAGTAGATAGAATGGTTATTCTGGTAATGGTCAGGTGAACCTGACTTTTCCTGGTACAACTGGAAATTTTTTTTAATCTTCAGGGTGCAAAATAGGACTTCTTTCACAGTAGTATCATATGATGTAGAACAAGGTGTAAGATTGACTCCCTCTAAGTGTTTAGCTAGTAAAGTATCCAAAGGGTCTCATTACAGGGTGATTTCACTATTATAGCGGACCCTGAATATTAAAAAACGAATGCATTTATGTGAATGATGGATCTCCATTGCCTTATGTGTATACCCATTAGGAAAGTATTATTTCCTGAGAAAAAAGTATTCCTGGCCTGTCTATGAATTTGAATTAATAATAAGTATTTGAGAGACACTGACTTTCCCTCTTTTCCTTTTCCCCAACCTCATTTTGTTTATATCTTTGTTCTGCAAAAGTCTCTGTTATTTATCAGAATGAATTCATTTTTATGAGTTGAACAAGGGATTTATTTCTAAGCTAAGTTAACTTTAAAGCATATATTGGAACAAAAAGCAGCTCTCGATTGCTGCAACCTGTGAATACATTTTGTAATTTTATTTAGTATTTTTGAGCAGTCTAGTAGATAGTATATGTGTATCTGGGTATAGTGTATGTATGTATACATTAATATATATGCATTTACATATATATTTAATTTTACAACTAATGAAGAGAATGCCTTTCTTAGAGCTCTCATGGTACTAAGTTGATGCCATCCTTGGTGAGTTTCTTACAATTTTATGTGATTACCACATATAATAATTGGCATCGTACCGTTTAGCTGACTGGGAAATAGTCCAAAATTTAGAAATACCTATCATGTGAAAGATACGTATGAATGATGGAGTCAGAGTCCTAAACCTCTGCCCCCAGTTTAGTATGCTTGGGAAGTGATGACCTAGAGAGTTACTTTCTTTTTTCAACATGTGAAGAGGTGCTTTTTCTTACTGATGGAAACAGTTTCTGGTATCCACTAGAGAATCTTCTCTCTTATCTCTTCCCTAGCCCCTTCTTTGTAGGAGGTGCTTCTTGGGAGAAGCTGTAGCCACCATGAGAAGAAGAATGTTTCTAGTATATTGAATTGGACCTATTAATGCATTTTCTTATGGAAACAATGTTATAAATGAAGTACCTAGGCAGAAAAGAGAAAGGAAAGGGATGTAAAGGAAATATATTGCTGTTAAGTGCATATTTTCATGTAAATAGTTCTGAATTTTTCTTCCTTTTATTTTATTTGCATTTATTGAGATTGCTAAGTTCATAATTTAAATTTTCCTAAAAATTATTTTTAATATTATAAGTGGTAGCTTTTCCACTTACATCCTAGTCTGATGCCTCATTGGAGTATGTAGGTGATACTGACCTCTGAAAGACTGTTCTAGTAGAGTGAAAGCTTTAGAAGATTCTACTAAGCTAAAAAGATTATAGCCCCAGTGAACAGTTTGCTTTTCTGTTGTCTAAGAACGTTTCTGTCAAACTTAGTTTAGAGATGCTTATCATCAGAATATTAGCCATCAATTGGTGATTTTTTTTTCCTTAGAAACTCTTATTAAGACCATCTGCCATGATTTATTAAGAGTATAGTGTTCATCAGTGAGGAAAATACCTGTGCTGATGAAATCTTGAATCCTTGACATACGTATTTACATGTAAATATTGGTTAGGAGTATACTCTTAGGAGCTTTACTTCAATTACATTATGGATTAAATAGTCCTTTTTAGGCTGGTTTGAGAACCTAACCACTAAGTGTTATTACATTTTCTCAAAAAAAAAAATTAAGCACCAAACAACCAGTTAACACACTTTAGCTGAAAAACTCTTTTATTAGTTTGAGGTTACTTTTATTGGCTTAAAAATTAATTATTCAATTAATTGGTAAATCATTAAAGATAACATTCATGGTAGATATATATACTAAAGATATGCTTATAGATTAGGAACTAAGTATTGAGTAAGTGGATGTTTTTGATCTATAATGTAGGTATAGGTACTGTAGGACATTCTACAAAAAGGGGGCTAGGGTAAGATGAGAGAAAGGATTCTATCATGAATACCAGAAACTGTTTCCATCAGTAAGAGAAAGCCCTTCTTTATCTATTGAAAAAAGAAGGTAAGTCTTTAGGTCATTACTTCCCAAGTATACTAAACTGGGAGCCGAGGTTTAGGACTCTGACTCCATCATTCATATGTATCTTTTGTAAGACAAGTATTTTATAAATGTAAGAAATATTATGGAGATAAAAACAAAATTTGACTACCAAATGCATATATGGAGTGAAGTATAGCAAGGAATAATGCCAATAGAAAAAATCTAGGGTACTAGAATGATGGTGGTTCAACTAAAATGGGGAAATTTGGGGGGGAGGGTTAATTTGGTAGAGTGAAGGTGATAATAAGTTCTGTTTCGAACACGCTTAATTTGAGATGCCTATGGGACATCTGGTTTGTATTGTCCAGAAAGCAGTTGGTAGTGTGGTACTGGAGCTCAGGAGAGATGTTAGGGCTAGATACAAAGATCTGGTGATCATCTGCATACACATGATAATTAAGTCCATGGGAGCTGATGGAGTCACCAAATGAGAGAGTATACATAGAGAAAAGAATCTTATAGAATACCACAGTTAGGGAGCAAGACATGGATGATGAGCCAGTATAGGAGATTGAAAAGGAGTGGTCAGATGGGTAAGAGAACCAAGAGAGAGAAATGTGAGAGAAGAAAGAATAAGGAGCCAACGTTCAGTAGCATCAAATACTACAAAGATATCAAGAAGGATTTAGAAAAGAAAATTGGTTTTGTCAATTAAGAGATCTTGCTAGCTTTGAAGAGAGCAGTTTTAGTTGAGTGATGAGGTCAGAAGCCAAATTGTAAAGAGTTGAGAAGTTAGTAAGAGGAGAAGTGTAGGCACCAAATGTAGACCAAATGTTTTTTAAAAGAGTCTTTTTGTGTGTGTGTGAAAGGAGAAATAAATACATGATGATAGCTTGAGGTCATGGTAAGGTCTAAGAACTTTTTAAGGATGGGGAAGACTTAGACATGTTTGTAGGAAGCAGGGAAGGAATCAGTAAGCAGGGAGAGATTGAAGATTACTGAGGGAGTAGAGGTGATTGTGGGAGAAATCTGCAGGAGAAGATGGGTTGGGATGGGATCAATTGTACATATAAAGAGGTTAGCCTTGCCAAGGAAGAGAGCCACTTGTGTATTAGAGATTGGAATAAAGAAGAACAGAAAGGAGAATGATGCCAAGGATTTTGAGATGTAGAGAAGAAGAAAAGAGGGAGCTCATGGTGAGTGGGACTCTACTTTTTCTCTTCACTTGAGAGGCTGGGATAGCTGATGCTGTAAGTTTTGAGGATAGATGCAAAAGTTTGGAACAGCTTTTCTCATGGAATAGCCTACTCTATAGTGAGTGGATAGAAAATCAGGGAGGAGTTGCTACAGTGAAGGCACAGTTAAGATTAGGTAACACAAATTTGTAGTGGTTCTGATCGCTTCAGTTTTGTGACATCTTCCAGCTCAATTTAGCACCACAAGAAGAGGATTAGAAGCAAATGATGAGAGTCATCTAGGGTTGGAGTTTGACCAAGCTTGAATGTCACTCAGATATATGGGTAAGGGATTCAAGAATAGAGGATAGTGTGGCATTGAGTTGGCCAACTGTAGTGTTGAGATTGAAAATGAAATAAGCGAAGTCAGATTAGCAGAGATAGCAGGACAAAGTATTGAGGGTGGAGGGGTAGGAGGTTCAGGTGAAGAGTAAGAATATGTTTAAGAGTGTAAAGCATAGGAAGAGATAGAAAGAGAGAAGGTTATTATCAGATAAGGGGATTTCAGAGTTTTTGAACATGCAAGTAGAACACTTGTAGGTCATGGTGAGATCAAGGCTGCGGCTATCTGTGTATGTAATTGAGGTGCAGTGGAAAAGTTAGTTATGGGAACTAAGGATATTGAGAAACTGGAAAGCTAGAGTGTTTAACAGAATATCAGCATAAAATCTCTTAGTATAAAGGCAGGTGTTGGGGTAGAGACTAATCCTGTGATCAAGTTAGTCAATCAACAAGCATTTATTCAGTGCTTACTATGTGCCAGGCTCTGTGCAAAGTGCTGGAGGTACAAAGAAAAAGCAACACCTTCTTGACCCCAAGAAGTTTATATTCTATTGAATGAGACAACGTATTTAGAATAGAACGTGTAAGACAAATAGAGAACAAATATGAAGTAACCTTAGGGAGGAAGGCATTAACATCTGTGTGGACCAGGAAAGGCCTCCTAGTGATGCTTCAGCTGAGTCTTGAAAGAAGCCAGGGCTGCTAAGAAGCAGAAATGACAAGAGAGAACATTCCAGGCATGGGGATAAGGTAAAGAGAGAATGTAGAATGTGCTGTGTGAGGAACAGCAGGAAGGCCAGTATCCCTGGAAGAGAGAGAGTAAAGCATGAGAAGATTGGAAAGGCAGGAAGAGACCAGGTTACAGAGAGCTTTAAATGCCATATAGAGGGGTTTATGTTTAATCTTGAAGGTAATAGGGAACCACTAGAGTTTATTGAGTAGGGAATGACATAGTCACACCTCAGCTTTAGAAAAATAATGACCTGCAGTTAGTGGATAACAACCACCAGGATCTGGATTGGGTGATAAATTTGGTTAGAGTGAACCTCAGAAAAAGCAAGGTTGCTGAGTAATTATAGCAAAGAGAACATCTGCAAGTGGTAGTGGAGAGAGGCGAGTATTCCAGCTCCTTCAAGGACCAGTGTATGTATTGGGGGTGGAGAGAGAAATAAGAAAAAGATTTTGAAATAGGTGGTTTTCTATAAATTTATAAGGAATGAAAAAATGAAAGCAAAAAGCCTGAGCTTCAGGATTCTGGGGGCGGTAGAGGACCTTTTTAGGCACAAATCCTGAATCTCTACTTCTGGGTACTTAGAAATTGGGAGCCGTGGAATGTCTCTTTGGTCAGTCAGTAAACATTTATTTAACACTCATTATGTGCCAAGCACTGTGCTAAGTGCTGGAGATACAAAGAAAGGTCCTTGGAAAATAAGCACGCTTGTTACAGGAACCATTCTCATCCCCTTTCCAGCATGGCAGAAAGTGCCACAATTTGTGCTCTATTGGCATAGCATTTGAGAACTCTTGAGGTCACCTCTATATCCCAAATAGGCATTGAATTGAGATTTTGTGGAATCAATTGATAATGCATCAAATACTAACCTCTGTAATAATTCTCTCATAGACCTTTCCTTGATATGGTATATAATGCATTGGACAGTCCTGAAGATGATTATCACGCCCTTTTTGTGCTTTGTCTTCTATATGCCATGTCTCATAATAAAGGTAAGATTTTAAATTATCCTGATGATAAGTGTGGATGTTTTCAAATATTGTATTTATCCATTTTTAAGAGAAATAAAAGATACTTCTGTTAAGTGTAACAAATAACTAACTTGATTAAAATAACTAACATTATTCAATAACTAGCATTATTATAGTTTCTAGAATTCTACTTCATGGTAGATGAAATGCATAGCCTGTTTTTCTATATGTCTATGCCAGGAAAAAAAAATCATTATTGAAAATAAATTTATAACATGATTTCTATTTTTTTGGTCTGGACCTATGATTTCAGTGATATGGGGAATTCCCAGGATGGAACCTCTACCACTAAAGACAAGCAACTCATCTATAAATGAGGTTCACAGAGAATTGCCTGAACCATTGAAAGGCTGAGTAATTTGCCTGTGGATGCATAGCTAGAATATATTAGAAGCAAGACTTGAATGCTAGACTTCTTGATTCCATGGCCAATATACCAAGCTGCCTCTTAACTGAGTTCATATGATATTTTGGTATTTTCCTAGCACTTTGCTATAAAACAAAGCTCATGGTAATTTTAATGTGTTTTCCTACTAGTTGTGCCAAAATCAATTGATTTTGTAATTTTGGTCTTTCTCATTATATTTCATTTATATTCCTGATATGTATAAAGAATATGCATATGGTTTGCAAAATTAAGATTTCATTCTATCAGAAGATCAGAGTTACTTCTCCTATTTTAATCAAGTAGTATCAAAGTCTAGAGCCTTGTATGATTAGAATGGTCCTGTTTTTAAATATGATTAGCATTCTTTCATTCACTGGCATAGAAGTTAGAGAAAGAACTTCAAAGCCAGAAAGACCTAAGGGCAAGTCACTTAATCTTCTAAAGCTCCAGGCAGCTCTTAAGATGTAAGTTGCAGACTAGATACAAAGCTGCCTTGGTAGGGGGATTTTCCTATGCCAGTGCAATTCCAGGTCTAATTCCTGTCCTTCATCCAATTCATTGATGGCATCTGGGAATGAGTGGTCTTTGTCCATTTGAAGATTCTCTTTGTAGTTTATCACGTGGAAATAAACAACTGTACCAGAAGTATCTGTGTGTTTTGGAAGAAGAGAAATCAAGATACAGATGGAATATATACACACACATACATACATACATACATACACACACACATACATACATACATACATACGTACGTACATACATACATACATATACATATACATATACATATACACATGTGTGTGTATGTGTACATATGTGTATGTGTATATATGTATATGTGTATATATGTATATGTGTGTGTATATATCTATATATATCTATATATCTACATATATATATTTATCTATAAAAACATTTTCAGATGGCACAAAGCTGAGAGAGGCTCTTAACACATTGGATGATAGGGTCAGAATATAAAAAGATCTTGACAAGCTAGAATGTTAAGCTGGCACTAAGATGTCATTTAATAGTGACAAATTTAGAATCTTACATTGGGCTTAAAAAATAATTTCACTAGTACAATATGGAGGAGACATGGCTATGCAACAGAGTTTTAACGGACCAAGTTCAGCATAAGTCACTTGTGTGATTTAGCAGACACAATCTAGAAGAATTTCCACGTACAAAGTAGAATACAAAAGGGGATTGTTTATGGAACCATGAATTTTCTATTCTCCTTGCTATTTAAAAAAACTATATAATTAATTCAGTATGTTACTTACAAAAGTGTCCCACTTGTCCATACTTACTTCTGTTCTGTTCTGTTCAAAATGTCTTATTTTTAGTGAAACCATGCTGCCTCTTTGTGAGCACTGCTAACCATTCTTTTAATAAGACCTCCTAGAATTTCAAGGAATCAAAGTTAAGGTTGCTGGTTTCAATCCTTGCAGACTCCAGCTCTTCATTTGGGACATTTGCCCTTGCCTAAGCTTGTGGTATCTCTTTATCACCCACAATCTTTCAGACATCTCTGGCAGAGAATGCCTCAGGAATGACATCTCTCAGTCGTTTCTGTACCCTTGAATATAGATTGTCTGCGCCTGATGACTCGACTCATTTATAGCTGCTAGAGTTTTTTTTGGTCCCTATTTTTCTTCAATATCAATTTATATTAGCCTTGGGTTTTTGTTTTTGTTTTTTTTTTTTTAATTTCCAGTCATTCACATTGGCCTTTACAAGAAAACAGAAACAATAAGATTCGTGATAATAAAATTCGTGATAATAATGATAATAAAATAAGAGCAATGATGCCTTCTCTTAGTATCGATCCATCTATCCTGCATAGTGATGCAAAAATAATCCACTGTAGTCCTTGAGATTGGTCATGTCTCATTATTTGAAGAGCATTGTTTTAGGGCCTAGGTAAAAGAGAAAATTTGGGCGAGAAATCCTTTACCCTCAAGAAGCTTATTATCTATAGAAAAGCACATCATTTGCACAGATAGTTGTAACAGAAAATACATGATAAATATATGAGGGCTACAAGTAAAGTGTTGGATGAGATCCAAGAAGTAGGATAGCATAATAGAAAGAAGAAATACTAAATACTGAAAAATTCTGGAATCAGTAGACTCAGGTTCTGTTCTTGCTGTAAACCTGTACTAGCTACATTATCTTAGGCAAGTCACTTCACTTTCAACTTCAACTTCCTCATCTATAAACTGGAGGTAATAATAATTGTACTTTACATCACAGGATTGTTGTGAGGAAAACACTTTAAACTTAAAGTGTTGTGTAAATGTGAATTATTATGAAGGTCATTACCAGCTTGGGGGACTAGGGAAGACTTCTTGGAAGAAATGACATTTGAGTTGGTCTTTATAGGGTGGGTAGGGATTTAACTCGATGAAAACAAGAGCATTCCACATTTAGGAAGAGTAAAGGTTCAGGTGAAAAAGTACAGGATGTCTCTGTTGGGAAGGGTATACTCCAGTTTGACCAGAGTGTAAAGAATGTGGAAGGGAGTAATATAAGTTGGAATGAGCATGACACCAGGTTGTAATGGGCCATGAATGCCAGGATAAGGAGTTTGGGTTTTATTTGGTAGGCAATGGGGAAAAATAAGGTAGAAGGATTACACTTACTTTGCTTTGCTCCAGAGAACAGAACTAGGTACAGTAAGTGGAAGTTAGAGAGGGGCAGATTTTTGCTTCATAAAAGAAAAAGCTTCTATATAATTAGAGCTGCTCAAAAGTAGAATGGGCTGCCTTATGTCTCCCATCCCTGAAGTTCATTAAGTGGAAGCTAGATATTGTAGAAGGGATTCCTATTGAGGTAATGTTTGGACTGGCTGACCTCTGAGGTTCCTCAAAGTCTAAGACTGAGTAATTTAGTAGAGATCTAGTGAAGGGTATGGGGCAAAGGAGGGACACCATGGTCTGGTCTGTGTGTTACTATTAATATTACAAGTAAGCCATGTGGAATATGGATTTGGCTTGGGCAAGGGGAAGGGGACTGGAGGTGGGAAGACCAGTTAGGAGGATGTTGTAGTAGTAGAGAGAAGTAATAATGAGCCCCAGTACCAGCAGAGAAGATCTGTTCAAGAGTTCCTATGGAGATAGAATTGACAGGATCTAGTAATTGATTATATATGAAAAGAATAAGATAACATTAAAAATAACACTAAATGTGATAGACCTGTTGAATGGTTATGCTACTGGCACTTTCTAAATGACTTCACTGCAATATTCTTTATATGAGTATTGAGTCATATATTAGTGTCCTTTCTTTTCTGTGACTAACATTTTAGCTTTAAAAAGTAAAACTGAATATTTATGGATGGTAAATCCCATCAATGTGACTGCCAGTTAAAAACTTTTTTGCAACAAAAAGAAACGTTTGACAGTGCAGATGTCAAAAAAAAGTCAAATTGTTTCATTCTTTACTTTCTTGCTAGTAATGTACTAGCAAGAAAACATTTTCTTTGAGAAAGTTTTGTGGTAAAGTTATTGGAATAGAATTATGCACAAAAGGACACATCATCTCGTTTGTAGAATCTGTTGTTTGCTTTTGCTTTATTTCTGCTCTTAGAATAGGGTTTTGGTTAGGTGTGTTTTTTCTTTCAGGCAGCAGAAAGTCATTTGTACTTAATCTTCTGGATTTTTATTCCAAATTCTTACTACCATCACAGCTCTGTTAATGAGATGGTCTCTCTTTCAGATGGATTTTTCGTCATGAGACAGTTTAAACATAAAAGCAACAATAATAAACATTGAATGTTGGCTTAGGACTTCCAGTAAATAACAATAGATTAAAGGCTACATCAAAATGAATATACAGAAGTGAAAGGGGTTGAACGGAATAAGAGAGCTTTGCCAGTTATGATTCAGTAGGGTGACATAATGAATTCTGGTTCATGATCATAATAGAAAATTTGCCCATTCATTCCTTTGTTGAGTCTCCTAAAAGCAGTGGCTGATGGCAAAAACCTTCTCTATATAAACCAACCTGGTGGTCTTTGGAGCTATTACATTTCTATTTTAAGGCAGCCTCCTACCTAATCCCACCACTCCTCCATATAACACACATACATACTTTGTGGGAAAGACTACCTAAGAAAAGAGAAATCTGTTTTCTTGTAGTTACTGGGAAATGGTGATAGAAATGGGGAAAGTGGATAGACACCAAAAATAAAGTGGAATTTAGATTTTTCAGAGATCTAGAAAAACATTATTTTAGAGGACATATTATACATAATATTTCAGAATGGGAATAAAGCTTAATGTAGCCCAAACATATCTCATATAGGAATTTCCTCTATAATATTTCTGATAGCTGGTTATTTAACCTTTGTTAAAGTATTTCCAATATTTGGAGTTATATTATTATGACACTAATAACAATATTAATAATAGCTTCTGTTTACATAGTGCTTTAAGGTTTGCAAAGCCTTACAGACTTTATCTAATTTCATCATCACAACAATCCTGTGAGGTAGGTGTTATTATTATCTTCTTTTTTCAGATAAGAAAGAGTTCAGTGACTTGCCTATGATCACAATATGACACCATGCTGCTTCCTCATACTGCTGCCCAAGGCAGTCCCTTCTAGTTTTGAACAGCTCATAATTCAGTATAGCTGAAAGCCCACCATGGATTAGATTCTGAAGCAGGCTATTTTTTAACAACTATAAATGTCAGCCTAACTGAAGATATGCTCTTTGGTGTTACTTATTCAGTGTCCTGTCGTTCCCCCCCACACACACACACATTTATTCAGATCTACTGTCTAATTTGGCAACTGGTATTTTGAACATGCTTAATGACTTTTTTGAGGAGTGGAGGGGAAGATTTTTGTAGGCTTTTCTGTTCAGGAGTCTATTTCAGTCCATTTTCATAAAATTTGAGGCCCACCCCTAGTGTAGGGGCTACAGTTCCACCTCCAGAGTCACTGTTGTGGGAGGGAATCCAAGAATAAGAAAGTCCATTTAATTGCCAGTAACTGAGATTGGCTGATTAGGAGACCTCCCACAGAGTAACACTGCCTCCAGTTCTTTAAATTAGTCTTTTTTCACCCATGGTATTGGTGGTGATAGAGATGAAGCAAAACACACCGAACTTATTTTTTCAGATCAGGATCTGACAGATATAGATAAAGAGAAAGACCTGCCATGCCAAGATGTTTGGAAGATTTCAGCAATTTCCTCCCTGCCCCCTATCCTCTCAAACTTTGTCCCCTCTCATTCATTCACCTACTCTCTTCTCCCCTCTCCCACCCCCCACCCCCCAGCCCTGATCACAGGAAGTATATGAAGTACAAGATTATATCCAAAATTTGTCATCAAACACTTATTAAGTGCCCATTGTGTATTTGGCCCTGATGCCAGTTTCAAAATATAAAAATATTGTCCTGCAAAGAAGCTAAATTCCCTTGCAACTGGCCCTGTCTTTCTGTATTTGAAAATCACTAGTCTTTATCACTGTAGAGAATATGAAAGAATTAAGACATTGTTCCTGAGCAACTAGATCTACAGACACATAGTAGATACAGAACAAATGATGATTGTGACAGATGCTAGATATAGTATGGTTTTTGACATAGATGGCATAGACTTATTTATTGGAAATATTCAGTTATCTTATCAAAGAATGAATATTGTAATTAGTGTGAACAATAGAATTTTAAACATTTTTAAAAATCTGACTTCTGAATGTCTATAAAAGGTATGATTTGGGGACATTATCTTTCTCTTCTCTTCCTTCCCTTTTTTTTTTCTGAGTATTTCACTGTTAGGCTTTTTATCTATCTAAAAGCCTTTCCAGTTACATTTTCCAAAATACATTTTAAACTTTTTTTTTGCAAGTATGAGAGATTTAGCACCAAATAAAATGTCTTCCTTTTCATTTAAATGCAAACAGTATTTACAGCCTTTTGGCGTTTGAGAACTGTGGCTCCAATTCAGCATTTGCCATACACCTGTGGACCAAATTTCACTTAAATTATTGAAAATTACACAAGATGTTGTTTGAGAGTTTTATCAACCACTATTTTCTTTTAGGATACTATACTGAACTATGATTCAACTTTTGGAAATAACTTGATACCCTTTAGAAGTCTGTGAAATTTGATGAAGATCTGTAAATTTTTTCCAAATGGTATCATAAAACAAGAAGACAAATATAAAATGCCAAGCAGTCAGCTATAGTGGTCACAACTTTTGAATTAATATTTCTGTTTTCCTCTTCCTGCTCCTTCATTTTTAGATTTTATCTGTCTTTGAGGTTGGTACCCTTCATTACAGAAGGTAGCGGTATCAATTTCAGGAAGGTCAGAATAACCACTGAAATTAAAGTGTTCTCTCCCTGTGATAAGAAACCTTCTCTATATGTTCTTTATTTGTGTCCAAAAAAAATGGAGGAAGGAAAGAAAAATATTGAACGTGTACAAGTAAATGGAAATACCTAAATTTGTGTCTTTCAGTGTGTTTTATGACCTGTCACCGAATTCTCAGGAAAACCAACAACCCATATTCTGTGTGACCTCTTCTTTAAAGTCATATGTTTGATTAAAGGACCATAACGTTAGGTGATGAATTTAGGAATAAGATGCTATTTTGCTTTTTTTCTTTTTCAAGAATTACTGTTTCAAAGAGAAAGAGTATAATGTTGCTGAAATCTCTAAGAAACAATAAAAATTGCAATCAAAATTATTTTTTAGGTTTTTGTTGTTTTTTTTCCAAATGAATAAAATACAACCAGGATACAACATCAGTATTTTTCCATTGTAGTATGCGTAATCATATTTAGCATGAAAAAAAGGATGTATTCTAAACAAGATAAATTTTCATTGAAATACAGTTTTTGAGGAATGGATTTTTATTGTTGTATATGACAGGAGTTATTAAATGTATTTGGAAGGTATGTGTCAAAAATGTCATCTCCTTGGAATTATTTAACAACTTAAATTCACTGTTGGAAGAAATTCAATAAAATAAGATATATTGTTATGGTTTATTATGTCAGTATGTGTGTTGCATTTACTTAGAATCCAGACAATAAGCTGTTCTATGCAATTTTTAGCTCTTTTGTCAAGTTTCTTAGGAAACATCCAGTTCTAAAAGGACAATATTTCAAATGTTCCAAGCAGTGACATTTCTCCTTTCCCTCCCTTTTGTAGTATCGTTCCCCCCTCCAGTTTTAAGATTTAAATAGCTATTTACCTAAGTGTTTCATTGGCACAAAACAATGAATTTTTAGTGTTGTTGGTTTTTCATTGTATGTGCTTTCTCCCTGCCCTCCAAATTCCATTTTGACTGAAATTCACATAAAAAATTCATTGTGTATTTCTAATAATGAAGTATGATCATTTGTGAGAGGGTATCTACGATGAATGGTGAAAATTTTAGTTACAATATTGTTTGCTTTGTATCTATTGGTTTCTCTTTCTTAAGTGAGCAGATTTTCTGATAAAAACGTCTTTTTCCATGTCTTGTATTGTTGTCACTTTATTTTCATTTTAGGAATTGATCCAGAGAAGTTAGATAGAATTCAGCTTCCAGTGCAGACTGAAGTTGAGAAGACCTCCTATAACCACTTGCTTGCCGAAAGACTCATTAGGATAATGAACTATGCTGCTCAGATTGGTAAGTGTATGTTAAATGAAACACTAGTAATTCCTGAAATGCATTTGTCAGCCTTACTGTCAGGCAGCATTGAAACAAGGGCAGGGATTTAAAGTCATTTTTTTCCTAGTCCTAACTTTTCTGTTGTTCGCCTAAGCAAATAATATTTTCTCATTCTGCCTCATTTTGTTCATCTGTAAAATAAAACATCTGAGAAAATATAAGGTGCACCCTCAAAAAAAGAAGTGGTGTGGTTTAATGGAAGGAGCACTGGCCTAGGAGGCAGATGACTTGTGTTCCTGTCCTGGCCTTTACATTTACTAGCTTGTAAACCTTGGACAAGTCACTTAACCTTTCTAATCCTCAGTTGCCTAATCTGGGATATCCAAATTACTCTTCCTCCCTTTATCTGATGGAAACTGCTTTTTAGAAAGTTGTGAAGGTCAGATGAGGGAATGAATGTGGAAGCACTTTGTAAATTGTAAAATATTATAAATGTTAGGTATAATCACAGTTATTTAGTGAAATGCTCCCAGTATTTTCAATGGATTTTGTCTACTGCTGTCACCGTGAGCTGGGAAAATATAACTGTGTGTTTATTGGTGATGGGCTTTTTTTCCTTACTATTATAAATTTTATTTTAACTTCCATTGAAAGGGATAAGTATTCAGTGGCGAATTCTTGTTGTTGTTTTTAAAACACCAAAATGCTTCACAAAAGTCATGTGTGGTTTGGTTCAGAGGAATTAAATAACTACAAATGAAGTATGTGAATTATAGGCCATTATCCCCACAAATGGGGTTATGGTAATCCAGTGCAAGAAATTGTATGTCATAGCTGGAAAAACACCTAGAGTGAAGTTTGGAACTTTTACAGTAAAAGAGAATAGAGAACAGAAAACTTGGGGGAAACTCAGGCTAAGATAAGAAGCCAGAGGATAAGTTTACTCTAAAACCATTGTAAGTAGGAATAATTGATATCATTACACAATGGATGGTTAGAGGAAACTAAAGGGAAAAGAAACATAGCCTCATTTATGTTACTCTTTATTTTATTCCCCTCCCAATACTTTGCATATATTAAGCGCTCAGTGAATACGTGTGGAATGAACAAGTGGAAGACTGTGAGCCATCAGCAGAGAGAGGCTAATTCAGGAATTTAGGCTACTGTGAGAAAAGTTTCAAGCAAAATCTGATGAGAAGACCTAGGGCTCAGGAATTTGCTTCTTTAGTGTCAGAATGGACTGACATTACTAGTTCCACTTTGTATTGTGTGGGAAGAAAGAACTAGTAGAAACTAGTAAGGAATGATTCTTAAGATAATGATTATCCATAGAAAAGAAGACAAGTGGCATGAAATAAGGAATAAAAGACTTGATAATATTTTAAACCAAGTCGAGGTACTGAATAACTGTTTACCTCTAACCAATTATAGTTGTAGAGTCTCCAAAATTCTCTTGTAAAATAGTTGTGTGTTTTAAATATACATTATGACTTGTGCTGTGCTACAGTGTATAATAGAGGTATCAAATTGTAATTGGGAAATGTTTAACAAAATAAATAAAAATATAATGCAGCATATATAATATTAATTTGTGGTTTTCTAAGTCAGTATGCAGCCTACAAAGATCCTTTGTATTTGAGTTTGATACCACTGATGTGCACTATTCAGAAGAGAAATTAAAATTGAAAGATCATGAATCCCAAGAGCATGGTTGTTGGAAAAAATTTTGTCAGAAGAAAGTTACCTTGTAAATAAGAGCAATTGAACTATTGCCAGGAAGCTCAGTTTGTTGGCTCCCCCAAGGGCACATTACATCAGACTTGCCCTTTCTTCTTGCTTAGTAGTCCAGTTGTAGATGTACTGCAGTAAGAAAATATTCTTTCTCTTTTGAGACCTCTCTGGATGAGTTCAGCACAATGGGCAGCTATGTGGCAACACTCATTGAGGCAGAGTGGATCAGTAACAAGAGAGCAGTGTTGGGAGCAGTGTTTTGACCTTGATCTTGGCTTTGTCGTTAACTTATTTCCTTGACCCTGGACAAGTCACTGCTTCTCTGAACTTCAGTTTCTTCATCTGTGAAAATAAGAAAGATAAACTAGTTTATTTCTGAAGTCTCTTACACCTACAGAATTCTGTGATTTTTATGACTGACTCCTAACTGTTTTTTTCTGTATTATAAGACACTTATAGGCATTTAGGGTTTGCCCTCTCGTTCCATTGGATTCTGGTAACTTGGATGATTTTTTAAAAGTCTGTCGAACAACTAAGATTTTTGTGGAATATTAGTAGAAAAAGAAATGATCTTCTATTCAAATGAGCTAAGGCTTTGAAGCTATTTACTAAGTTATCCTTTGTTTTCTGTAGATGGAAAAATCAGACTGGCTACTTTGGAACTTAGCTGCTTGTTACTAAAGCAGCAAGTCATGACAAACAGCGGCAGCATTATAAAGGATGTTCACCTTGCCTGCCTTGAGGTAAGGACCCATCTTCTCCTATAGAGGCATGAGCTTTCCAACCAACATTGTAACCCACCTCATTCAGTGAATAATGGAGTGGATAAAGGATTGGATAATTCAGTGGATAAGCGAAAAGCAGGATCTCAAATTCCTTCTCAGGAAATATAGATTCTTTCTTGAATCTAAAATATACTTTAAGAAAATCTCATTTTTAATTAGATACTAGTATTTTTTCAGCAACTATTTGATTCTAGTGTTTATCTTAAGATTTTTTAATTCAGTTTTCTGAACTTTTTCCCATGTAAGATTTGATTCTTCTTTGTTTTTTCTCTCTTTAATAGGGTGCAAGAGAGGAAAGTGTTCACCTTGTGAGGCATTTTTATAAGGTAAATACGTACATATAAGTAAATATATAACACTCTATTGATTCCTCAAACATTTAAACTTATGCAATAGATTTTTAAGTAAAAAGAGTATGAAGAATGATCCAGAAGGGGCAGGGCCAAGATGGTGGGGTAAGACAGGGAACTGCTGAACCCGCAAAAGGATGGAGTAAAACAATTTTCTAGTCTAAGACAATTTAGAAGGTGGACAGGAAAGGTCTGTGTCACTGGGGTGAAAGTGGAACACAGGCCAAGCCTTGACAAGCAAGCTGCAGGTGTTGGGGGCAACTGAATTAATGATAGCAGTTTCTGGAGCTCTCAGCCTACTGATGGTAAAGGAGGGTGGGGCCAGACAATTGGTCAGAAGGAGATTACAGAAGACTCTTTGCTGTCATGGAGTTCAGGATTCTGCTGTATTGCACATACTCAGTTCTGAGTCACAGTCCCAGGGCAAGAAGGGGCACCAGCACACCTGTGGCTACAGGGGAGCAGGAACCATGGTCACAGTTCCAGGGTGGAAAAGCAGCCATTCACAGACCAGAGCCCAGGCTAAGAGAGCAGTGAACACACCTCTCCTTAGAGCATACTACCTTTGAAGAACTGAAAACTTAAAGACTTCCCCCTAGAGCTAGGTCTGAAAATGGCAACCTGAAAAACCTGAAGGTTGGGACAGTGCGTCCTTCACCCCCCAGGAGCAAAGCCCAACTTTAATATAAAGTTAAAAGTCAAGAAATGGATAGAAAAATGAACGGCAACAACAACAAAGGACCTGACCATAGAAAGTTAATACAGTGACAGGGAAGATCAAAACATAAACTCAGAAAAAGACAACAAAGTCAAATTGCTACATCCAAGCCTCAAAGAAAAAAGTGAATTAGTCTCCGGCCCAAAAAGAGTTCCTAGAAAAGCTCAAAAAGGATTTGAAAACACAAATAAGAGCGTTAGAGGAAAAATTGGGAAAAGAAATGAGAGTGATGCAAGAAAATCATGAAGAGTCAATGGCTTGGTAAAAGAGGTACCAAAAAAAGGAAAAAACCATAAAACTGAAAAAAATAACACCTTGAAAAACAGAATAGGCCAAATGGTAAAAGAGGCACAAAAATCCACTGAAAAAAACCAACTTCTTAAAAAGCAGAGTTAGCCAAATGGACAAGGAGATATAAAAGCTCACTAAAGAAAATAATTCCTTAAAAATTAGAATTGGGCAAGTGGAAACTAATGAATTCATGAGGAATCAAAAAACAATAAAGCAACATCACAAGAATGAAAAAATAGGAGAAAATGTGAAATATCTCTTTGGAAAAGCAACTGACCTGAAAACTAGATTGAGGAGAAATAATTTAAGAATTGTTGGACTACCTGAAAGCTATGATCAGAAAAGGATCCTAGACATCATCCTTCAAGAAATCATCAAGGAAAACTACCCTGATATTCTAGAACCAGAGGGTAAAATAGAAAATGAAAGAATCCACCAATCACTTCCTAAAAGAGATCCCAAAATGAAAACTACCAGGAATATTATAGTCAAATTCCAGAGCTCACAGGTTAAGGAGAAAATATTTCAAGGTGCAGCCAGAAAGAATTCAAATATCATGGAGCCACAGTCAGGATAACACAAGATTTAGCAGATACCACATTTAAAGGATTGGAGGGCTTGGAATATGATATTCTGGAGGGCAAAGGAGCTAAGATTACAACCAAGAATCACCTACCCGTCAAAACCGAACATAATCCTTCAGGGAGAAAAAATGAATATTTAATGAAATGGAAGACTTTCAAGCATTCCTGGTGAAAAGACCATACCTGAATAGAAAATCTGACTTTCAAATACAAGACTCAAGAGAAGCATAAAAAGGTAAATAGGAAAGAGAAATCATAAGGGATTTAATAAGGTCAAACTGTTTACGTTCCTATATAGGAAAATGATACTTGTCACTCTTAAGAACTTTATCATTATTAGGGTAGTTAGAAGGAATATACATAGACAGAGGTTATGGGTAGGAATTGACTCTGATGGAATAATATCTAAAAAAATAAAATTAAGTGGTGAGAAAGATGGATGGCTATGATGGGATGACATCTAAAGCAACAAAATTAAGGGGTGAGAAAGGTATCCATTTGGAGAAGGGGGAAGGGAGAGGTAGAATGAGGTAAATTGTCTCACGTAAAAGAGAGTTGAAAGAGCTTTTACAGTGGAGGGGGAAATGGGTGGCAGGGTGGAGTGACGGACAACACTTGGACCTTACTCTCATTGGAATTGGCTCAAAGAGGGAATGACATGCACACTCAGTTGTTGTATAGAAATCTATCTTACCCTACAGGGAAGTAGGAGGGAAAGGGGGTAAAAAAGGAATGGGGTGGGGCTGATAGAAGGGAGGAAAGATTGGGAGAGGTGGTGGTCAGAAGGAAGACTCTTGGAGGAAAGACAGGGTGAAAGGAGAGACAGAGGGAAGGGTTAATGGGAAAAATAACATGGAGGGAAATATGCAGTAATCATGACGGTGAATAAATTTTTATAAAAAGTTTTTCTGATAAAGACCCCATTTCTCAAATATATAGGGAACTTGTAAGGATACAAGTTATTCCCCAATTGGTAAATGAGGAAAGGTTATGAATAGGCAGTTTTCAGACAAAGAAATCAAAGCTATTTATAATCATATGAAAAATGCTCTAAATCACTTGATTAGAAAAATGCAATTAAATAACTCTGAGATACCACCTCACACGTATCAGATTGGCTAATATGGTAGAAAACAAAAGTGACAAGTTGGAGGCGATGCAGAAAAACTGGGACACTAAAGCACTGTTGGTAGAATTGTGACTGATCCAACCACTCTGGAGAGCAATTTGAAACTGTGTCCAAAGGGCCATAAAACTCTACATACCTTTGACCCTGCAATGCCACTACTGGTTCTGTATCCCAGAGAGATTTAAAAAAAAAAAGGAAAAGGACCTATAAGTACAAAATTACTTATAGTAGCTCTTTTTGTGGTGGCAAAGAATTGGAAATTGAGGAGATTGGTTGAAGGAGCTGGTATGTTTAGCCTCCAAAAGAGAAAACATAGGGGCAGCGTAACTACTTGCAGGTATTAAAGGGAAAAGGGATTGCTCTTGTTCAGTTTAACCCCATCAGACAGAACTAGGAGTGATGATTGGAAGTTGTTAAGAGACATCTTTAGGCTTGATATCAGGGAAATTACCAACAATTATAGTCATCCAAAAGTGGAATGTGCTGCCTGGGGAAGTAAATAAATTGTCCTTCATTAGAGCTTTTCAAGCAAAGAATGAATGACCACTCACTATATAGTTTGAACAGAGAATTTTTGTTGCATTAGATGGCCTCTGAGGTCTCATTCAACTTCTTAAATTTTTTTTCAAAAGGTAATAAAGACAATATATTTCTATCAGAGCATATTCAGCACCATCTTCTAACCCTTCTGTAGTTAGTCTAGCAGTGTGGGAATTCCTATTCAGAATGATGACCTTGAAAAATTACAGAATTATAAAGTGACTTCTGAATCATCTTAAGAAAGATTTAGATCTAAGCGAGATCTAAAATAATGTTTACCATTTTAGTATTGTATTAGAATTCTTTAAAGATTGGTAAACCATATATGGTCAAATAGTAACTCTCAGCTAACCAAAATATCCCATTCCACGGCCATTATGAATAAACAGGAGTTTACTATGTTTGGTTTGGCAGAGTTTAGAATCAGCGTCTTTTGAAAATGTTTGAATATTAACTTTATTGGAATTATTTGTAGTATTTATTTTTATACTAACCACTTACACAAAAGAAAGGATTTAAAACTGTTTTCTCTTCCTTTTCCACTCTTCTCGCACCAACCTAAAATCACATAAAAAGATAGTACGGTCCTGTCACCTTAGAATAATTAACATAAATTACTCTATACCTTATTTCTCTTTTAGTTTTGCTTTAAGGGTTCTAAAAATTGTTGACTGGTGAAATGTGAGATTTCATATATCATTTTATTATATATACATGTGTATATGTAGATGTGTGTGTGTGTGTGTCTGTGTGTGTGTGTGTTTTAGTTCCTGATGATTTACGAGAACTAGGTAATGAAAAACAGATGGCTTAACAGCCATGAACTGGGGTTTATAATACTTTTCTTGTTTATGGAAAAAAATGAATAATCTTGCCCTTTTTCTTCTAAGGGAGAAGAAATTTTTTTGGATATGTTTGAAGATGAATATAGGAGCATGACAGTAAGTGACTAGTCAAAGTAACCAACTGTATGAAGAAATGCACATATATTAGAATACTGGCTGATTTCCTTTAAAGTTTAGCAGTTGTGTAACAAAAAGAGAACTTTGCTTAAATTGTACTTTCTTACAGAGTGCTAAAGATTAGTAGAGGAATTTAGTTCTCTTTTTGTAACTCTATAGGAAATTTAATTTACCTCCTTACCATTTGTTCTTGGTGCTGCTGATGTGGTAGATTATATCTTATTACTGAGAGGAGGTTTTTGCAAGTAGGACTGTCAGAAATGCTCATGGTAAATAAATGCATTTTTTTTCTAAACGTTCTAGGAGTATGGTGGTTCTTGGGACTAACTATCTTACCTCTGGATACATGTCCTTCTGCTTCTTGACACTCCCTCCCTTATCTGCTATTCTTGAAACCTTGTATGCTAGAAACTTTTATCTAGCTTGAAACTTCACTGATTGGTACAAGTGACACCACTTAGCCTGTTACGTTAAAGGTGGAAAACACCCGAGAAAAACCCCACCCTCCCTAGAAAAAAATCTGCCCCTCTTCAACATTTCTGACCTTCCCTGGTACTTGGAGGGATAAGAGAAAAAATGTAATATGCCAGGACCTTGGAGGTAGGGGAGGGAGATGAATAAGGGGGAGGGTGTAGACCATCATGGATTTCTTTCTCTTGCTTGACCCCTCAAGACACTGTCCAGATTCTAGGTGCACCCTTCTCAAACTACTTACTCTAACCCATCCCCTTTTCTTCCAAATTCATGGCCCACCTTCCTTATCCCCTTGGGTGTTCCCATTAAGTCCCATAGCCTTCTTTTTTAACTTAAACATGCTAAGTAAAGAACCTGTTGCTTTGCATTGTTGTCTTGTCTGGTTCTTCAGAGTAGTCCCTTTAGGTTCCAAAAACACTCCACCTCACCAACTGTATTGATGGTGTATTTGTAGGCATCAGTGTTATTGTCACATCATTATTCACAATACCCCTCTATAGCAGTTTTGAGTACTGCCTCACACATTTTCATAGAGCTATTTTAAGAAAATGTAAATTAGCATAACTTATTTTCTAAAATGCTTTCTATGAGCTACTCTGAAGATGCAACAACTCGTTCCATGTCATCTTAATAAAGATGTATATGTTTGTGTATTTCTGCTCACAGTTTTCATTGATGGTCACTGTCAGCTCCCTGTTCCTTCTAATCCCTTAGAGGAATTTTACTGTTATATCCTGGCCATTAATCAAAGTGAAGTATATTTAGTGGTTATTTGCCATTTTGTCTTACTTTATGACAGTCTCTTCTCTAATAAAATTCTACCAACCTTTTTGAAAACTTGAGGCTTATTCTTCTGATGAAGACTTACGTGTTACTATAATTACAGATTGTCTTAGGTGCATTACAATAGGCTTCAGTCTTTCCTACAGTCAATCAGGTATTTATTGAGTACCTACTGTTTGCTCAGGTTAGTGATAAGTACTTTGGGGAATACAGTGGAGATATAGCCTTTAAAAAGAAGACTTCCAAATCTGTATGTCCAGTCCTTATGACTTCCCCGAGCTCCAGTCCTACATTTTCATCTGTGTGCTAGACATATCCACCTGAATTTCCTGCCAACACCTCAAACTCATGATCAAACTGAATTTGTCTTCTCTCCTAACTTCCCTGTTTCTGTTGATGTTATTTCTTCCCATCACCTGGCTCAAAATTTTGGGGTCACTTTGGAATGATCTTACCTCTTCCCCACCCTAGTCATTTGGCAGGTTCTAAGAATTCTACTACCAAAGTATCTCTTGCATCTGTCCTTTCTCTGCTCACTCTGCCACCATTTCTGACCCTAAATCAAGCCTTTATTTCTTTCTCTTCTAAAATATTATTATAATCTCTGAACTGATTCTATGCCTCCAATATCTCACCTCCAATCCATTTTATGTTACACAGTCTCCAAATTGAGCCTCCTAATTTGAGCTATTTTCTATCTCTATTTCCTGGGTTGCTGTAACTAGAGAATTCATCACTGAATGCCCAGCCTACTGGTGATGAGCTTTTCCTAAGTTCTTGGCTAGGTTGGTCTTTGGAAAGCAGAAATAGTCTTATATTAAGACTACTCAAAGCCTTTTTATTTTGGTAAAACCTGCCAGAGCTTTTATTCTTCTGGCATAACCTTTGACAACCAGGGTCCCTTCTTTATCATGATGAGAACTCAAAATAGGACAACCAGTGGGTACCATTGGTATCCTTGTAATGTCAAAAGAATTTGAGGAAGGTCTCTAACATACGGGGAAACTTAACAGAGGACCTAAATAAGAATTACTGACAAGATCAGTGAACATCTAAAAATAGGTTATGGTCAGCATTGTTGGAGTGAAAACCCACATCACATCACTGAGGTCACAGGGTCATCTGAGTATAATGCATGAGTTTGATTGTCACTCTTCTGATTCGAAACAAAACAACTGCAGCAGTTTCTCATTGCCTGTTTGACAGAACACAAACTCTACAGCTGGACCTGAATCATCCTGGATACTCCAGATAATAACCCGCATGTGTGGAAAGTTCTCCAACCACATACGCACCTATTATAATCCTTATAATGAAATACCCACTTCAGATTCCCACTTCTCCATGAAGCTGTCCCTTTAACTGAAAGTGATCTCTTCATTCTCAGATTTTCTTACGACATTTTGTTTGAATTTCTCCCTTCCTTTTATCACGTTCTACCTGTTATATTTATATAGATGTTGTACCTGACTTCTATTAGATTGTAAGCTTCTTGAAGACAAGAACTTTATCTTTGTATCCCCTTGTATAGCACAATGCTTTACAAACTGTAGTAAAAGCACTTAATCAAATGTGTTTCAAATTGAAATTTTTAATCTGACCATGCCCACAGTTTTTTCAGTAGTCGGCCTTATGGTAATTTTGAACCTCAGAAGAAAGCCTCACCAGGGAAATTTTAAAAAAATTTCTGAGTTTGAGAGGGGAGGGATGGAGTAAGCACCATGCTAAATATCTTACAAATATTATCTCATTTTATCCTCACAACAGCCCTCGGAGGGAGGTGGTATTATTGTCCCCATTACAGAATTGAGAAAAGTGAGGCAGACAGAGGTTAAGTGACTTGCCTGGGGTCACACAGCTGGGAAGGAGATGAGATTGTATTTGAACTAAGATGGCTTCCTGACTCTGAGCCCAGCACTGTACCCACTACATCACATAGTTCCAAAATAATTGTCCCAAAGCCCCAACACTAAACCAAGTATTTTACTGTAGACCCCTCACTCAGAACTTTGTTGTTTAAAATGAGGAACTCTTGTTTGCTGTATACTCTTGATGAGCTTGCTTATCTAATTTTGCAGCCCATGGCTAATTAGACTAGAGTGGAATGAAGAGGGTATAGGAAAGGCAGGACAAGGTAGTTTCTAGAGGCAGTTAGTGACAGTAGAAAACGGGATAGCTGAAATTCTGACTTTTAGGGAAGATTCAAGGAAAAAATTACAAGCAGAAGTGTGTATTACTGCACAGTGTGGTAATAGTTTTCAGAATGATTACCCCAAGTCATCAAAGGTTGAATTATGCTTTGTAACATTTGATTAAAAGAAGGAAGGGAATGTGCAATATATTTTATATAAATTTCCATTAAAAACATTTGCTTATGTGGAATCCCTTAGGCTCCTAATGATGCTGAATAAATTGTGTTGCTGCAATTTTTTTTTTAATAAAACAGCACCTATCCTTAAATAATCTAGAGTCTATTTGGGTAGCACACACACAGAGCAATTAAACACTAATTGTATGGTGCTAAATGCAATAAGGATTTAGAGAAAAGCAAGGCCTGGATGGGTTCAAATTGTTGTCAGAGGCTTCATGGAGAAGATAGGGCTTGAGGAGGACCTTGACAGTTAGGTAAGGTTTGGATAGAAAGAAAGAAGAGGGCAGTTTAGGTTAGGAGAATGTCATGGGGGAGCCATGGCAGGGGAAAAGGTAAGTTTCTGGAAAAGACGGAACTTTTTTCTGACTGTCATAATGGGGAATGCTGAGGGTAAGATTTAATGTGTTTGTGTAGGGAGATGGCATGTAGCCAGTAAATTTTCTTTGCAGTTGAATTTAGCATGAGGAACTTTTTTTTCAGTAGCGTAGTCTTTACTGAGTTGGATCAAGGCATCATATTTATTGAATTTTGGTTTAACTGGAGACATTTAATTTGTATTATTTAATGGAGTAAGATCTGCATAATCTACCAGTCAGTCTCCTGCTTCCATGTTTAACTTGAATCTCTTATTAATAGATTAAGCCTATGAATGTGGAATATTTAATGATGGATGCCTCTATCTTGCTACCTCCAACTGGAACACCTTTAACTGGGATTGACTTTGTCAAGCGATTGCCGTGTGGTGATGTGGAAAGAACCCGTAGAGTGAGTATGCTTTAATTTTTCTCCCCAAAATTCAGTTACACAGAGTAGCTTTTGAGTATGAGGTGAAAAGTACTTGGTCACAGGAAAATATGTACTCTAGGCAGCTGTGGACAGAGTACTGTGCCTCAGGAAGAGCTGAGTTCAAATCCAACCTCAGACACTTGCTAATTGTGTGACCCTAGGCAAGTCACTTAACTGCCATCTGCTTCAGTTTCTTCAGTTGTAAAATGGAGATCATAACAGCACCTAACTCATAGGGTTGTTGTGAGTATCGGATGATACGCACATAGTAGGTCCTTTAAAAATGCTTGTTCCCTCCTCTTCCCTAACATTTGTTGTGACACTGTGAGAAGAAACCACAAATTACCTGTCAGGCAATCTAAGCTTTCTGTAGAATAATTAAATTGTTTATACATTCAGATCTGAATTCGTTTCCTTTGGCACTGAGTATTAATTAAAAGAGGAGTTGACCTGGGCAATCTAAAATAAAGCACAGAGAACTGAGCATTGTGGGAAATAAGAGGTAGTTGAATACCCAGTGTCAAAGTACAAATGAACTCCATACTCCTTGATGATTTGTTGGTAAGAAATCTATTTTGTCTTGGTTTAAGCACAATCATATGTCATTGTGATTCATGTTTGTCTGTGGGAGAAAATGTGTAAGAAAGTAGATGAATTCCTAGAACACTCTGTAAAGTGTTCTTTTCTTATCAGCGCATATTCTAAAGCATTTAGTTTAGGAAACTGTCTCTGCACTGTTCACGGTATTTTATCTTACTCTGTAAGATCATGGTTTCTTTTCTTAGAAAGCACTCAAATCTTTTCCTAGAAAGTCATTCCATGGAGGCAATTAATATTAATGGATGTTTTAGAGAAATTCACTGAAGTAAGCACCTATTATCAGGGTGCATGTTTCTTTTAACTTAAGCCATATATATAACCATAGAGCCATTGATGGTTTACTTATTGTTTTCTAAAAGGTAATAGTCATTTCCTAAGTATTCAACAAAAAAAAGCTGTTGCTATCCTCATTGTTTCTTTCTCATCATGTAAAGTATTTTCTCTTTTTCTCTATTCCTATAATTCTGTTATCTATTACTTCTGTAAAATGTGGAAGTAACATTAAAAACATTTTTCTTACTGTATCTACTTTCACTATTGTCTAACCAAACCTACAGATCTCAACACAGGATCCAGCCCTTTTGAGAACTTCTGCCTGTGTACATGTCTCTTTGATGTACTTTGAATGAGCCCTTTAGAGGTCTGCAGTGTATAAAAAATTACCTGGTAGAGTTTATTTCATTTCAATCGGACATCAGTTTAGGTGAAACAGAATCCATTTGGCATTGAATGACTGCTTCTGATCTAAGGTAGCATTTCAGTAACTTATTGATTTTTCTTATTTTACTCATTGAACATTTTATTGAAATTAGAGGGGTTAACTTTAAACTTTGTTGTTTCTCCCCAGCCTTAACATCCAGCAGACAGGGAAGTAATAGGAAAATATTATTACCTTTACAAAAAGTTACCTTGTGTAGTAGAATCACCTGGTTTGGACCAGAAAGTTTCAGGAAATCATAGGCGTTCAGGAATGCTACTCTGAGTTAAACTCTTTGAAACCTCATTTTAGTTTATACTTAACAAGTTTCTCCTCAACATTTGCCCAGACATCCTTTGTTTAATAAGATCTTTTACTGGTGGACTCAGGTGGAGCAGGCCTAATTGGACCCTTTCTCCTCCATATTCCTGCCAATACCTCCTTCTCCCTACCCAGGGGTCAAGGGCCAGGCCCCTTCAGTGTGCCCACCCAGAGCAGACATAGCCTTTCACACTACGACAGTCCTTCTGGTAAGATATTGGACATTCTTCTGTGCCTTGACACTGCACCTTCCATCCTACAAGGCTTTCCCATTTGTCCTGATACTATATCCTGGAGGACCCCTGGCATTATCATCTGATTTGCTGATGCACCCTAAGGACCATACAGCTTTGCTCTCTGCACTGCAGTGAAACTCTTCTTTATGTATTTCCCCTAATAAGAATGTGAGCCAGGGGAATTGATTTTATATTTCAAGCACGTAGCACAGTGTTTGACATACAGTAAATGTTTAACAGGTGCTTTTTCGTTCATTCATTCAAAAAGCAGCATATTAAAATAGCTTTAAGAGTCTGATAGCTCATCTTTATCATGGCCATTTACTAAATGATCACAGTGTGTTTGACTATTTTGTGAAAAGAAGTGATTGTTTTTGTTGGGTAGATTTTTGTATCAGGACCCATGGGGGAATGAAGAGGCATCCGTAGTATTGGAGGGCATGAGGAGGAGAAAAGGATGGGATTTTCTGGATATTCGGGAAACTAGACATTGGAGTTACCTAATATCTAAGTGCCACCTGTTGTGGTGTTCTAAAGTATACCATTAGATCAGCAGTTCCCCTAACTTGAGAGTTGTAGTCATTTATAAGTTCCTCAAAGATCCATGCTTTCTGTTTTCTTTTGTATCCTCACAGCTTTCTTTCTGAGAATAGAATGCCCAGTAAATTATTGATTCTTAGCAGTGCTCTTATGTCAAGTGCCAGGAGAGTTACCATAAGCTTTGGGGTTCCTTTACATCACCATTTGGGAGAACTACAAAATATTTAAAGGTCACAATCTGTTCTCACAGCAGGAAGGACTCTTAAGTGAAATGCAGTGGGGTGATTTTGGTTGTGGATAGGCAGAATTGATTTTTTAAAATTTTGTTTTTTATTCTGAACTTGAACACCAAAACAATATCATTTCCATATATACAACAGAACACAAAAATGAAACTTAGTCTCCGTTTCATACCCCTTGCTCTTAAAAAAAAAGCGTATAATAATTTCTACATGTTACTTTCCTTCCTTCCTTCTTTCTTTCTTTCTTTCTTTCTTTCTTTCTTTCTTTCTTTCTTTCTTTCTTTCTTTCTTTCTTCTTTTGCTTGGCAGTTAGGGTTAAGTGACTTGCCCAGGTCACACAGCTAGTAAGTGTCAAATGTCTAAGGTCAGACTTGAACTCAGATCCTCCTGACTCCAGGGCCAGTGCTCTATCCACTGCACCACCTAACCGTCCCCACATGTTACTTTCAAGACTATCCTCTTCATCTGTGCTTCCTTCTGAACTTTCTCCTGTTCTCTTCTTTACATTTTAAAAAATGTTGCAGTGATCCTTTTTTTTTTATATTAGCATTGCTAAACCTCTCTATCCCCTTGTTCTGCCTAATTAAAAACATGGAGGGAAAACCCTGTTAACAAACAGATATAATCAAACAAAACAAATCCACACAGTTACTATGGTTCACAAATGTATGTGTCTTTCTGTTCTTTGAATCCATCACCTTTCTGTCAGGTAGTGGCTAAGTGCTTCCTCATAGGCCTATTAGAGACTTTGACCAGAGTTCTTAAGTCTTTCAGAGTTGTTTTTTTGTTTTTTAGCAATATCATTGTATAAATTATTCTCCTTTTGTTCACTTCACTGCATTAATTCTTATTCCCCAGGATTCTTTGGAATTATCTTTTTTTATAATTTCTTATGGTGAAATAACACTATGTACCACATTTTGTTTAGCCGTTCCTCAGTTGATAGTCATTCCCTTGGCTTCCAGTTCTTTTTTTTTTTCTTTTTAATTCCCCCTTTCAGCATCTGGAAGTTGGTTCTCCTTGAAACTATTCTTTGCTGGTACTATCTTCCATCTTAACTGTGTGTATACATGCCTGTGCACATACATACTTGATGTATGTCCATGTGTGTTTTTGTTCAGCCCTATTTTCTCTGGTTCAGAGAAGACCAAAGCTCATCTGACACCCATTTTCCCTACTTCTTCTGTGTTTGTATGCCCTTCTCAAGTACTCATGTGTTACAAGTATTTCATGAAAAATGTCTATGTTCTTTTTTCAGAAATACTTGAAAATCCCTTGTTGCAGATAAATTGATTCAAGAATATGAACAATTCTCAAAATAAGAATTGCAAATTGTTATTATTATTATTATTATTTTAGGCAGTTGGGGTTAAGTGACTTGCCCAGGGTCACACAGCTAGTGTCAAGTGTTTGGTCTGAGGCCACATTTGAACTCAGGTCCTCCTGACTTCAGGGCCAGTGCTCTATCTAGTGCGCCACCTAAATGCCCTCTAGAATTGCAAATTATTAACCAGTATGTGAAAAAATGCTCCAAATCACTATTAACAAGAGAAATGCAATTTTAAAAAATGCTTAGATTTTACCTCATACCCAGCAAATTGGCAAAGATAAGAAAAAGTGGGAGTAGTTAATGTTGGAGAGATTATGGAAAGATAAGCACATGAATTCATCGTTGGTAGGCCTGAAAATTAGTACAACCATTTTGAAAAACAATTTGGGATTATGCAAATAAAGAGTTGAAAATGACCATAACTTTTGACCTAGTGGTTCCACTATTAGACATATATCCTAAGGGGGCCATTTTTTAAATAATTAATTAGTCGATTTTTTTCAGAGATTTATTATTTCTCCTTCTCACTCTCTCCCAAATTGGACCCAAAAAAAGACTGTCAATACAAATAAACATAATCCAGCAAGACAAATTTTTGTGTTGATCATGTCCAAAAAGGTATGTCTCATTATGCATTTTAAGTCCATCACCTCTTTGGCAAGAGGAAGGTTGTCACTTTCATTGTCACTTCCTCTGGGACTCATAGATTATCATTGCATTGATCAGAGTTCCAAAGTCTTTTCAAAGTTTTTCAAGAGGTCATTGATTAAAAAAAAAAGTCTCTATATTCATGAAAATATTTATAGCAATACTTTTTATAGTAGCAAAGAACTGGAAACAAAATAGATGACTGTCCGTTGCGGAATAGATAAACAAATTGAAATACATCAATGTAGTAGAATATTACTGTGCTGTAAGAAAGAACAAATATGAATACTGAGAAGCATAAAACACTTACATAAAGTGATGGAAAATGAAGTAAGCAGAGCCAAGAAAACTATATACAAAAGAAA